CATCACACAGGCGGTGGACACGGACGGGGGAGGGATACAAGTAAATAACTGAAAATAACTCAACAGATCTAGCTGCAGATAAAGTATCTTATATAGCCCTCGAAGTCATAGATACCCAACAATGTTGCTCCACTATCTGCGCTAAGACTCGTGCATAATCCGGGCAATACTCTGCTGGTTCTGCCCCACTGAAACTGGGCTAAGAATGTTCTTATTTGCATAGGAAAAATTACACGCTTGCAGTCAAGACAATCGAAATGATTTAAGACTGCAAAACATACACAGACGACAGACAGGCAGCATAAAAAAAGTTGCAACTATCAAATTATTATAAGTACCATCGATTTTTGCATTGTAGATATTTTAATGAAACGAGAAGGAACGTGTGAGTCGCTTCTGGGGACGCGACTCTACTTATACAGTATTTCTTCATTCTGCCTATAATAATGATCCGATCTGATTCAGATTCGTCAATCTGATAGATATGGTCATTTTCTACTGTGTTTTTAGTTTTATCGTATCTTTAAAAATGTGCCTGATGCTTGATGCTGATCAAGAATATATATACTTTATGGGGTCGGAAACGTTTCCTTCTCTGCGTTACACACATCCACTTTTACCACAAATCTAATATACACCTTAGCTCTTTTTTGAGTACGGGTATAAAAATACCACAAAAATGGGAGAGTACAACTAAACTTTGAAGTGGCAGACAAAACTACCAATTGCCAGTTGGTGTTGTTCAGCAATAAAAACAAAATTGATGAGCCCTGCAATGGGTCTTCTTATTAACTGCACGGAGTAACGTCGCTACAGCCCTATCGACGCTTTCAGTTGGATTATTTAAAGCTAATATTTAATTGAAATAGCTCCCATTGAAGTTCAGCCTAAATCACTTTTTGTAGGATCCTCTAATGATATGAATTTAAAGGAACTTCTAGCAAATATTTCAGATATTTTGTTTGCTTTTTATTCATAAATTGGTTTACAAATTCAAAATACGAAATCGCAAAATTTATTTGATCATCTTGAAATAAACGAAACCCTTAGATTTTGCCCTATATCTTTATGCAGCCCATTCAGATTTGAGCAGGATTTTCCTGGATCAAATAAAGTGCCTCAAAAAAGTACTATCCAATTTGTGTTCGCTCCGTTTGATCTCCGTCTGCGTCTCTGCATTTTTGTGGCCTTTTGTTGCCATTTGTCGCATTTACGCAATTGCGGTTTAGTGGATTTTTCTCGGCTATTCTCACGCTGCAGCAACCCACCAACGAATGGGTGTTGCAATCGACCCGCTTATACTCACATTGTTTAGATGCTCGGCAGAGGTGTTCTTGCTGCCTCCGCGTATCAGCAACTCCTGATCCTCTTGGCCCATCTCGTCTCGTGCTTGGGGTCCTGCTTAATGCTTTATAATTTCCTTCTATCGATCACTCCACTCAAACAAATAAAATAAAAACACACAACCGATTGGATTTGCAGGGAAATTGTAGTGGCTTCACGCGGATTTCGATACGGGAGTGGTGCTTTGTCACGAAACCGCTGACAAAATGCAACTGAAGGCGGACATTGACGTTGGTTAAGGCGACAACAGAGACAGCGACAGCGACAAGCGACAAGCGACAGAGACAGCGACAACTTTGACTCGCTCTGGGCGAGTGTAAATGAGGCGGTTGAGTGGCCCGTGGGCTCTGGGGGCTCTGCGACTGGCTCTGGGGCTCTGCGTCTGGCAGAGATAAAAAGTTGAGCTCTTCGGCTATGGTTCTATTTGAAGGTTGATTAGAGCGATCAAGTAAAAGGTGCGAGGGCTGCTGCTGCTTGCTGCATCATCTCCGCTTATCGCCCATCTTATTCCTGTCTTCGCTCTCTGCTGCTCCTCCTTTTTTCTCTCTCTCTCTCCCTCTTTAATCTGTTTGTTCTTTGGTGGTGGTGCACTGTACTTGGCATGCATGATTTATCAAACGCCTGTTGACGCTCCTGCCCTCAGTCGTTGTCGCCATCGTTAGCACCTCATCATCTCTGGGCAGATGCCCCCCCATGCTGTTGGACATTATCAATCTTCATCATCAGGCCCCATCAGGTGGCTGGGCTGGGCTGGAGGACACTGACAGGGCCAGTTGGTGGGCGATGTGAAGTGAAGTGGGCGCCAGGGACAGCATTCAGCCACTCTGTCAATACATTTTTCGAATGCGATGCAGAAGGAAGCTTAGCTTGAAGGTTTGCAGAGCCACAGATACTCCTAGAATGATGCAGCAAATAGATATATAGAAAGTCAGTACTCAAATCAATCAATTAATTATCCATGGGTAAATAATTCTATTTACCAAATGTTAAATAATATTAAAAATAGCCCGCAATTAAAATATAAATTCAAATGAGAACAGAGAGAATTTGCATTCGCTTCTTTTGTTTCACTCTTTTTGAGTGTTTAACTCAATATTCGAGCAATTATTTGCCAAGCACACAAAGACGCGTTTCTGTGCTCGTTCGGAGAACTCTGATATTTCCTTTGTCGCTGTGGGGATCGCCATCAGACAGCAGACAGCAGACAACAGTGTCTGGCAATGTCTCTGCCATGTGGCACTCATTCATTCACTCTCTCGCTCTCTCTCTGCTCACTCATCTTTGGGGCTTACACTTTTGGGGCTTCGCCTGTTTGAGTGCAGCTCAAAGCGGTTTTCCAGCGTGTTTGCTGCTGGCTTGTTGTTTGCAGAACCAAACAGCCGAACAACCAAAACCCTAAATCCATCTTTAACTTCTCGCTAAGCTCTCAGGTGGGCTGCATGGCTAGGGGGGGTGGTGGCCATTCACTAGTATGTACTATATGTATATGTATATGCTTAGCTGAGCAGTCACTCAGTCAGTTGAATGCTATAAACTTTTTACACTTAACAATTTATTGTCACTCGGCTGTGTCGCTGCTGCTGCAACTGGACTTGTTATTGTTGCCGTTGCCTCTGCCTTTGCCCTTGTTGCAGCTTGCAACAAAAGCGAATTACCCCAGTGCCAATGACCTGAAGATACTCTGCACATAAAAATCTATCTATTTTAAATCTGGATTACAGTCCGTAAATAAAATAAATAAATAAAAATAAAATAACAGATTTTTTTTCCTCTCTTTTTACGTTTTAAATATTTGGAAATATTTCATGGTTATTGGAAGTCAGTCAGTCATAGTTGTCTTGATATTTGTATTCAAATCAATTAATTATTTATTTATTTATTATTATATTTAATTAATTAATTATTATTTCATGTGGCAACAATTCTGGTGGCTGTGGTACAGCGCTATCATGTTGGGTAAATCTTTCCCTTAGGTGCGTACAGTCCGTGACATGTGTGCAATCGAAACTGGTATACCCTTTGAGGCAGCATGAAAAAACGCCAAGAAGTAGCTGGCGACAAAAACGTAAAAAGTTTTATTTTAACACTCTCCAAACACAGACACAGACACAGACACGCATACAGGCACAGGTAAAGCTTTGGCCATTGACACAGGATGTCAGGCACGAGGGGGGTGGTGAGTGGGTAGTGGGGAATGGGGAATGAGGTTGACTTAGCCCTACGCTTGAATCTGTGCTTTACCCGCTCTCTCTCTCTCTCTCTCTCCTACTCTTTTCACTCTTAACCCATGCAAATTATTGACGCGGACAGTGGGCTCAATAAATCTGTGTACGGGTATGTGGGTGGGGGGGTCTGCGCTGTGTGCTGTAAGTGTAAGTGTGAGTGGAGAAACTTTGCCGAGCTGCACGCTAATCAGACAGCTTTCTAGTTCATTGCCTTAACCCCATTGCCCCCGCCATGCCACACAACTCGTTCAATGGCGACGCCGTCTCCTATTTGGTGTCCATGAGGCAGAGCAAGGCACAGGCACAGGCAGCCCCACCACTCAGTTGGCTGTAATTGCAAAGTAAATCAGCGCTGCCATTTGCCATGCCCGAAAAGTATGCTCCATGGATAAAGTGGCAGTTAACAGGGGGGGATGGGGTCGCTCGTTGCTCTCAGGCCCTGAGGATAATGTAGGGGCGGAGGGGCTTGTGCCAAAGTTTGAGCAACTTTTAAAGAGAGGAATGTGTTATGGGTTCGGGTCACATAGTTAGTTAGTCCTACAACTTCAAGCCAAATGACTGCTGAAGTGCGCCCCATCCCCAAGCCTGGGGCGGACTGGGCAAAAACTGATGGAGCTAAGCGTTTGTCAGACGACACCGAGGCTGAGATTTATGCCGCAGTTAAGTTGAATTAGACATTTTTTTTGTTGTATTTTGGAGGCTGCTCCCTTAGAGCAGATTTTAGGGCAAGGAATATTCGGCTGAGCTGGCAGATAAATATCACCTCAAGTTAAAATTCTGCCTAGAGGATATTTTCCACCGATGGAAATACTCGTATCAATTCCCCACAAAGCTGCCAAAGACTACACCAGATTTGTTTGGGTTTGATTGGAAAATTCCACATTGATTTAACCGAATTTACACAATCTGAAATAAGCGAAGGAATCTTCGGGAGTGACGCAAAGGGATGGGTGGAGATTCCAGGTTCAAAGTGCAGGTTGTTCGATTATATTTGGCTGTGTTTTAGCTGAGATATGAGAAGCATCTGGCCAAAGGAACTGGCATAAATAAATATCTCTATTGCTCCCAGCATCCGCTTTATTTTTATTTTTTTTGTAGTTTTCCAGGTCAGCCAGCCTATACCCGGCGAATGAGCTGCCGGGTCCCTTGTCGTTCCGCTCTTGTCAGTTCTCACTACACAAATTTTATGTCATCCATTTGGTTGCCGGCGCTGATGAATTTGTTTATGCAAAGGCAAGGGCCAGACCCAGACTCGGGCTGGAGCACGGAGCACGGTGAGGGGAGGTTGCTGTGGGCTGTGTGGAAAACCAATGTTGACTTCATGGCAATCGCTTCAATCTTGTCCTAGGCGCTGGCGCTGGCTCTGGCTGTGGCTCTGGCTGTGGCAGTGCAATAAAAGCACAAGACACAATATATTTTTCTATTAAAGAACATCAACCAAATGCTCAACAGTGCGATAAGGGCAGTGCCAGCAGCAGCAGCAGCAGCAGGAATAGAGTAGGGTAGGGGTCGAGCCTAGGCCGGCCGGGCGGAAGTCGCCATTGCTTACAGCACGCGCGCGTCTCATAAAAACGTATCAAAACATCCGCTGGGAGTCGTAAAAAATTTGCACTCTGACTCTGACACTCTTCCCGTGCCGATCCCCCCCCCTCCCACAACGATGCAGCGCGCTGCCATGATAACTTTTCTGCCAATATGTAGGATCCGGCGAATGTGTAATCTAATAAAATGTTCTGTTCATGTGGCAACAGGCTCGACGCGCACACACCAAGTGAATCTTCCTGAATTGTTGGGCTGCCTCCAACTAGTTTGTTTCCGCCTGGCAACTTTTTTTTTTGCCCATGTGTGCAACAGATGCGCTGCTTTATGGCCACACAGAGTTGGATGCGACAACAAATGAAATGGAGGCTATGTACTTCAATGTCCAATGTCCAATGTGCTAAAGCTGTCGTATCGGCCAGGCACTGCTTCCAGTCCAAGTCCGCGAGTCCAAGAAACTCCCCGATTGAATGCTGGACAAGTATTCGGCCTAATTCGGTTTCAGCTGCCAAGCTGTGGCCAGGACACACCTGTACGAAGGAAGATTCGTCGGGGCACTAGTGGAGAAAGCGAGGAATTTATTCTGCACTGCATTTTAAACATTTTTCCATGTCTCCTTACTCAACTGACTTTTGTTCCGATTTGCTTCTTGTCCGCACACTGCACTTACGTATTTACATACTCTTTTATTGCATTTAATTAAATTAATAGCACGTGTTTTCGCTCAAGCTCAAGTACTTAGATTTGTAAACAAAAAACAGCTGACTGAGCAGTGCAAGCGTCGCGTCTGGTCACACTCGGCCGCTGCCAAAATCCCTGCCGTGCAATATATGGCCACACTACATTGTGCAGTTCTGCTTGTTTATTTACATTTTACACTTAAATTGTTTGCTGCGCTTTAAATTAAGTATTTAAAGCTGCGCATTTGATTGCAGACTTCTCGTCCGGTTCATTCTCATGCAGATTCGTTGGCCTTGCTGGAGCACTTTGCAGACTGTCACCAGAAGAAGGGCCTCTCCTCTCCTGATGACTTGGCCCGTGAGCAGACGCCTTTCTGGTTGCTTTCCAACGGACAAACACGATCCGTGTCTGCTAACCGCGAAGCACTCGACAAATGCTTGCCTCAGGCCGAGGTTCGCACACCTTCCCCCTGACTGTGATTTATAAATTTAACGACCTTGATACATGGTCGTTGTTTGTTTGCTTGCTAAGATCACAGCAGTAACACCCACAATAGTTACAGCCATGTTTCTGTTTCTGTTTCAGTTTCCGTTTGATTGAATTGTGTTTGTGTGGATGGCTGATTATTTTGTTGCTGGAGAATAACGGAATAAATAGTGGCAAATCTGCGCATAATTATGGATCTACTCACTTTCAACGAAGGAGCAGAGCAGCCACAGCTGTGCTGCGTCGAAGAGCCGGTAAATATCACAATTAAATTTATTTGATTGTAAAAATAAAGAGAATCTGTTCTGATTAAATAAAGGCCTAGAACTCGTATCGACAAGAAATTCTGTTAGTGGAAAGTGTGCATATGGCGGTGTCTAGGTGCCCGGGTGCCTGGCAATCAATTAATTTCTGCACGTAAGCAAACTCTGATTAAATCGCGGCCAATCAACACTTTTAAAATGATTAATTTATTAAGAACTCACACAGTACTATGGTACAGATATTTGATTTACTTTTGTTACACTTAAAACGAATTTCAAAAAAATTTTAAATTTTGCACACAATTTTTTTTCGGATATTTTCTATTTATATAATTTATATTTATTTATAATTTATATTTATTTTTATTTTAAATTAATTTAGAATTTTATTCCGACCTGCTGCGCTCCGACTTCTCCTCAAACTAACTGACTAAACTGGAAATTCCCTGATATTATTAATTATTATTAATATTAATTATTAATTATCATTATCATGCCCTGGATCACTAGATTCAAATTTTTTCCACCGCACATAAATTCATATTTCGGTAGGCGATGGAGTCCTGAGTCTTTAAATTGGATCTGAGCGTATATGACGACTGTAAGCAATGCAAAAGTTCTTTAAGCTTTCATTACAAACGTATTTTTATTCGAATTTTTAATTAGTTCTGTCAGACCAGTGAGCCCACAGCTTCAATTGGTTGTGTCGGAAGGGGCGGGGGGGACAACTGCTCTCTGAACATCATAAGCAGCCACTGACATTTGTTGCCTGTTGCAACATAATTGAATTAAAAATGCATACAATTTATCAGGCGGACATGCCACATGTCACAAGACATAGGCCACAGAAAGAGCGAGAGTCGAGAAGCCAAAGGCAATGCCAAAGCTCTCTTTCTCTCTCTTTCTCGCTGCTGAAGCTCTTGCTCTTTCTCTGTCTCTGTCCCTGACATAAGCACAAAATAAAAAATAATAATTAAATTGTATTAAAGGAATATAAAAAGAGATGGAGAGGGGAAGATAATACATACATAATAGGCGGTGTGAGTTAATATACATATGAAAGGAGTGTAACGACAATGAAAATGCGTACCTAATTAGAAAACTGCCGGCACAAAGAGGAGACATCAGTGGATGAAAAAAAAAAGGGACTGAGACTGGGACAGGGACAGGAACAGGGACAAATAAAGTATACGCATCGTCAGACAAGGCAATGAATTATGCAAAAATACATAGAGCCAACCCAATGGGGGCGAAGGAAATCCTTTTGTTATTTAATTTAATCACTCCCATTTCCCATTTCCCGTTCTCGTTCTTCATTCTTCATTCGTTTTCTTTTTTACCTAACATTTGACATTTTGTCACATTTAAAAAAAATATTACAAAGGATGCTGAGCGGTGGGGTGTGGTGGGAAGGTGCCGAGCCGGGCATATAAGCCACGTACTAATATGCCATCTAATTTGTTATTCATGTGATTTAAGCGCGTCAAAGAAGATTAATGACAAAAAGCGCCTGCTGGCTGGCTGGCTGGCTGGCACCCACTGAAAAGTGGCAATAAGCCAAAGCCAAAGCAAAGCAAAGCTCGTAATAACGAAGAGGGTGAGGGTACTGTGTGATTGCGGTGTCTAAGGGATAATTTAATAATGCCAAGATTGGTTAACCTCTCTCTTACTCGCAACCAACGCGACAGGAAACGGCAGTGGGAGGGCGGGGCGGTGAGAAGCGCCTTAAAGTGAAACAAAATTCAATTAGGACATTTTATAATTACTCCATGGGGTCCGCACTTGAGGCTTCCCAGCTCATAGTCATAGCTTCCCATAGTCAGATTATTGCCCTCCATATATACATACATATGTATCTCTTCGTTTCAGTCAACTGTTAGGATACGGCATTACAAAAACCACTCAACATGCACTTGGGGCTGCCGCTGCTCTCCAAGCAAGTCAATATTATCATAATACGAAAAGCCATACAATCCCATTGCTGAAACTTATTGACCGCATGCCAAAAAGTTTTCATAGATTGGAATTATTTTGGCTTCTGGGCTTAGACGAGCCGAGACTTAAAGTTTTGCGTGTGTATAGTCAACCAAAACTTATTATTAATAGCCTTTAGAATGCAGCGGCAATTGCCAGCTCTAAGAGCAACTCCTTTCTACCCCAGCTGAAGCTGAAGCTGAGACTGAGCCTGAGACTGAGGTTGAGCCTGAGCCTGAGACTGAGGCTGAGGTTGAGTTTAGCTTTTGCTATTTGTTTAATTAGATTTCTCAAGTGAAAACCACAAAAACCGCACATTTTCTCAAGACTTTACTCACTGGCAGCAGGAGTTTTGCCGGCAGGACGGGCAGGGCAAAGGGACTACAACGAACAGGGCTCTGCTAACACTGTCTCTCCCAAAGAATGTGCCCTTACTTTGGCTTAGCTTCCAATGCAGGCAAGTGCAATTTTTCGAAGTGTTACCCTTGAACAGGCGGCGGCAAGGGGCGGCCACCGAAGCCGCAGAGAATCTTTCGGCCAGCCTCTCAGCCTCAGCCTCATTCTCTCTGGTTCCCTCTCTGGTTCCGCATCGGGTCTTCTGTTATTGGAACAAAGCTATTTTTCAAACGGTAATACTGTACTCGTACCTTACCCCCCCCTGTTTTCCGCTTTTCCGCTGGCTGTCTCGTAAATATTTTGCAGAGAAGTTTAGCATTTTGTGCACTTTAATTTGCGGTCGGTGGGCAGGTTCCGCCCCGCACTGACCGCATCAAAGAAGACAAAGCCAAGCCATTTGTAAATACATCGGCCAAAGCCTAATAGCTGCGGCACGCAAGCTCCAGCAACCCATTTCCTCTTTGCAGTCAATTTTTTCAGCTTCTTTCTTCGAGTCTTGCTCTGTTGTTTACATTTTCTGTGGATTTTTATGGGTGTTTTTTTAGATGGAATTTAGATTAGTTTCGTATCACAGTTTTCACTCAAAATAACATAATACATGCAGCTGGCAAATATCAGCAAGGGGCAGTAATTATTCGCCCCGTGGGCACTCACTAGGTAGCTTTTGATCAATTCGCGATGTTTTCATCTTTGTTATTTGTTTTGTTTTGGAGCTATTTTTGGTCGTAAAAGCCAACGCCGATGCATCCAATTGGAGGCGTCTAAGTCAAAACATCGCGGGTACTATCGATAATTTCGATGTGGAACTGCCAGCTGATTTCATATATTTACATATATTTATTATATTATTTAATGAGCAACGATAATGCGTAAAAACATTGATGATAAATAATAATTGTCTCTATGCTCATTTTGTGCAGTGTCCTGGCACACTAATAAGCTCCAAAAAAACTCAAAATTTGTTTCACAAATACCCCCTATGTTCGATATACAACGAAGCGATTTTTTCTATTATATAATGCAAGGTATTTTAAGCATCTAGAAAACAAAATTAAAATTAAATTAAGCTGCAAAATTTTAATTTTCCTCCTTCCCCCAAAACACTTCACTCGGCTGAGTTGGAACCGTGGAACCGAAACGAATGTATCATTCGATATTTATTTGACAGCCGGAAATAGTCAGCCTCCCCTCCCTTCCCAGGCGTTGCCATTGTGAGTAGTCGAGCAACACGTGTAGACGGCAGACAACAAGTTTCAACTTATAAGTGAAGAATCCGCCAAAAATGGCCAACGGAGATCGTTCGAAATCGTTCAAATTGGGCGATCTGGTGTTTGCCAAAGTGCGCGGCTACACCCCATGGCCGGCACAGATTACCCATAATGTGAATAGCAAAAAGGAGTACACCGTGTACTTTTATGGCACAGGCGAGATCGGCTACATAAAGCTGAAGAACCTCCTGCCGTACAGCCAAAACAAGAGACACTTTTCCACGCGCAGAAACATGCGGCGAGCACACTATGCCAAGGCGCTGGACGAAATAAAAGGTGCCTTAAAGGGGCAGAACTGGCAGACAATGGACGTATCGAGCTCGAATCATTTTACTGAATATGATTACGATATCCAAGCACCAAGCGCCACCGGGAATTCACCCAACCAAGAGCGATCGCGCCCATCGAACGTAAGTTAAACTCGAACTAAGGTCACAGGGTAAACTGAATCTTATTGGTTTTCCACACAGAATGAAGAAAATGAAATTGTATTGGCAAATGCGCCAACAGCCGAAGACTCGCACATGGACATCAGCTACGGCAAGCCGGAGATATTGGAAAAGGTCGCTGTGGAGCAGTCCGGCGAACGCGCTGCCAACGCGATGCCACCAGGGCGCATCATTGTTGAGCCCTCGCCCAATGCGACGGAGACACAGGGGCATGAGATCGCTGGCTTTAAGGAGAGCGACTTCATTGAACTGTGCGAAGAGATCTGCAAGTGCTTGGGCCCGCGCCGCACCCATTTCTAGTCCGCCCAAATTGCGACTCCCCCCCCCGTTCATAGGATTAAGACAAAAGACAAACATACTCATATGAAGTTCCTTGGACTGTTTAAATAACATTGAATACCTACATTTAATTTGGTGCTACTAAAATAGACGGTGTATTAAAAAAGAGGTTTGGCCTAGGGCCACCTGCAGTGGAACATTAATTGTTTACATTTTGAGAATTGGGTGCAAAAATTGTGGCTAAGCCCAGTGTGCAGGGCGATTGATAAAAGCAACCAGATGGATCCATATCCATATCCTATGTGGGTTTAGCAAGCTCTGGCATTGTGAATGATTTATACAAGCAAACAAAATTCAATAGAATTTTCCAATTCTCAACCAAACTCCCTTCTCTACTCGTATTAAAATTTATTTTTTAACGCCGTAACGACATGGATTGCTTCCGTGTGCCGAAGGTGGTCAACAGACACGTGCTCAAGGCCATCTATCACTCCTCGGAGCGGCTGTTCCAGGACTCAATCCCGTTGTCAGCCATCAAGTTGGAGGTGGGTTACACCATGAAAAATGTCAATCCGGTCCATGACCTGGACACCTTGATTGAGGCGTCGCTGAAGAACCTCACCCTGATCGGCGTGCTGAAAGAGACAGCGATCAGTGGCAAAGATGAGAGGGAGTACGAGCTGCAGTTGAAGCCTGCAAACGTGTCTCAATATCAGTTCTAACTCCGGCGTTTCCTGGATCCCCAGAGTCCCCTCGAGTCCATGCTTAAGAAGTTCGCGGTGGATCGCTCCGATAATTCAATTTGTTTCTCTGACCGGAGACCGGAGGCACCAAGTGATATTCGGGATGAGACTTTGGAGGATCCAATCACAAATACAAAATTAAAAAAAGAAAGTTAATGGCCCCAAAGAGGGACTCAATAAAATTATAATGTTCTTGCATGTCTGTTGAGTGCAATTGTTAAACTATTAAAAAATTGCCAGCATCGTAATCGTAATCGCGGAGCATGGCTAAAATAATGCAATATTTAATATATATTATGTATATTTTGGTAAATAATATATAATATGTTTAAGATACGAAAAACCCCCGAAATCCCAGTGATGGACCCGCAGTGAGGGAGATATCAGATATCAGGAAGAGCATGGGCACTAGCTGGAAAGACGATAGATGGTGTGCATTCCCATGGTATAGATTTCCGCTAGATTTCCCAATGTCATCAGGACCTTTGTTGTTTTTTTGTATTTTCTTAGATATTTTCAGAGGTGAGCCTACAGGGGGGAATGGGTATAGTCGGGGCCATACATTGTTTATCATTAGCTAAAATGTTTTCATTCTGATTGAGGATACCCGAGGTTCAATGGGTTAACTAGCGTTGAGTCACTTGCATACTAAAGTACATACATAATTAAGTAAACAAAGAAGGCGCAGCCCACAAGTTACAGCAGGCGGCTGTTTGCACTGATCCATGCCATGATCCGTGCAGGCAAGCAAACAGCAGGCAAACAGCGCACTGCAGCGATGTTCCATCCATCCGTCTACCTGCCTACCCAAAGGCCATACACAAACAAGACGCTGCATGCGCGACCCAAAAGCTCTTCTCTGGACAGAGGGAGCGCGCGCTTTTTCTACTCTCTTTTCGGCTATGCTTCGGCTGTTCGTCAGCGACGCGCAGAGCAAGCTCGAGATAGTTGCGCACAGTGGGGCCCTCGGCCATTTCAGCTTGCTAAATTAATAAGCGAACAAGAATGTACTCCCCATGGGCTAACTACGCCACTCAGGTTATACAGTGACGGAACAAACGGGACCAGCGCTGCTTCATTTATGGTTTGTTGTCAGTTAAAATGCCTTCATTGGAGTCAGGATAACCGAAGGTACACCCAGCAGTAAACCCGAAATCTAGTACCATTTGCAACCTCTGTTGGGTCACACAAGCCCCCTCGTCGCTCGATCCCTCAGTACAGAATCATTCATCCAAAACACAACAAACGGAAAACATTATCCGAAAAACAGAAAACAGAAACAGAAATCTGGAAATTTAATTCTTTTCATTTTGCATTTTTCTGTGCAGTCTTCCCACACGTCTCCCGTCCTGCTTTCGATCCCCACCAGCTGCACTCAAGGGCAGCGCAATGGCTTTTATGGCTCGACAGAACCAGAGGGGCGAAGTGGTGGATCGCAAGCAGCTGTCGGGCCGTCGTACCCGTGACATGCGCGACCTGAGCGACTCGGAGGAGTCGACTGCGGGACTCACCAATCGCACTCTCTATCCACTCGTAGCAGATGCCGACACGGACACAGACTCATCATCCTGCACCCTGGTGGGCAATCGAGAGGATGTTGCTGAGTTCCTGGACACTGACACCGACACCGAAACCGAAACTATGGCGAGCTTCTGCCGGGAACTGGAGGAAGGGGAACTGGAGGATGCATTGGCAGGTCTCGGCCTCGAGGAGGGCAATAAGTGGGGCTGCCAGGAGGATTGGCGAAGTGAGACAGGGACCCTTGTACCGGCCGCATCTATCGGCGATTGCAGGGACCTCTCGGAGTCCACCCTCATCCAGGGAGGGGCTTCACCCACCGACAGTCTGAAGTCCTACAACAGCTGCAGGACCTACCTCCTGAGCAGTGAAACACCAGAGGACATGGAGGCCAGCGAAGATCGCGAGCTGATGACCAGCAGCAGCTGCACCCCGGACACTGCGAGGGAGTCCCTCTGCAGCTGGAGTGACGCGTATGCCGCTGTCCTCGAGGCACCGGAGGGTGGGAGTAACTTCCTGCCCTCTCTGAACTTGGAGAGCTGCAGCCCGCACGTGTCCACCGGGTTCAAGAGCCTCGAGGCCCAGAAGAAGGATCGCGACAGCCTGCAGTTCGAGGCGTGGAAGCAGCGCAAGGCGGAGGAGCGCAAGAAGAAGATTCTGGCCGCGAAGCGGGAACGCGAGAAGCGCGAAAGGGCGACTACCGAGCGCTTGGAGCAGTCTCAGAGGCAGGTCAGGGAGTGGCGTCTCCGGAAGGAGCAGCAGGAGCGGAACAACACGTCCACGCTCATCCAAAAGAAGTCCTGCACATCCGTCCCTGGCCCTGTCCCCAGCTCCGCAGTATGCCGCCAGAAGGAGACCGCGGAGGAGCGTAGAGAGCGCCTCAAGGAGTGGGAGCGCCGCAAGGTGGCGCAGCAGCAGCAGGAGCGGGATCGCGCTCGACGCCAGCGTGAGCAGAAGGAGCAGGAGAGGAAGGAGCGGCTGCAGCGGTCCGAGGGGGCCTGGTCCAAGTGGATGGCCAACATCGACAAGCGGCCCAAGCCCGTGCCCCTCAACCAGGGCTTTGACTCCCTGCGCGGCAGTGCCTCTCAGATGTTCATCAACCCGAACGAGTGGGACTCGAGCACGGATCCGCCGCCTGATGCTCGAGACGTTTAGCCAACCGACAAACCCAACCAAAAAAAGAATTAATTGTTCAGTTCGAAATATTTCCATTATTAGTTTAAGTTTCTTATGTTGGTGGAGCAGCAACGACAGGCCGCAAGAAGTGGATCTTCACTGTGGTAAGTATTCCATAAATGAGTGTCGGGATCTCAGCTCAGACCACCTTCCGCTCGTAGTCCTCCTCCGAGCCATCGCCTCGGAACTCTAATCAGATATTTTCTGCTCCATTGGAACCCAAGAGGCGAAATCAGAGACTGCTCCTCCTTTGGCTAACACCTGGTGAGCTTGCTGGGACCTTTTTCCAGTACCTTCTTCGCGTCTGACCTCTTGTTCCTATGCCACAGACACGAACGATCAATCAGCCCTCCAGACCACATGCGTCCAGCCTTGTACGAGCATTTTCAAACAGGATGGGAGATGGGAGACGACGCTGTTACAGATGCTATAGATGTCTTGCCCGGCAGTGATTTAATACAGGCTATAAGCAAATGCATTCATAGGCAACATTTCAGCCCGCACTTACCCCTTTGGCCCCGCATTTCGCAATCTAAATTTCGACTCTATTTTTGCTTGTTTTATGCATAATTCTAATGCTGGAAATACATTGTTTTTGGATTCAAAAATTACATTAAGCCACGCCGAATCGGGGCAGTTGAACTCAGCTGTGGGTGTGCCATTGGCTCTGCCCCACACCGAACTGCAGCCAATGGAACAATGTCGCAGCGACTGTTTTGTGTTGGAACGCGTGATAATAAATTCCAAGAACGATTTGGGCAACTTGATTATTATGGCAGGATATGCAGGCTTCGGCAATCGATGTGTTAGGTGCGTTGAGATATACATATACATATGTATATATATATATGGATTATTTTCAGCATTGGGATATTTATATATATAATTATATATGAAACCTGCTCTTATACTTTCTTCAGTTTTTCTTTTGGCTTTTGCTTTTGTGCTTCCTTTTTTCGTATTACTTGTTTGAATATAATTTGCCTTGTTCGTCACTTCCTGTGCGCCCTTCGCACTTCCGACAGAAAGTCGAGAGTGGCAGAACAGTTAAAAGTTGTGCGACGAGCCTCGTTAAGTTTCAGTGTACGGCCGTTAGGTGCAGCTTTATGGACACATTGCCGGCAAAGAGCATTCCATATGGCCCCGTGCATACTTGTATGTAGTTTCCCTTCCAGCTCCAGCTCCAGCTACAGCTCCAGCTCCAGTGCTCCCCCGTGAATTGACTTCTCTCAGGCTATATCGAATGCGAGTGCGAAGGCAGACAAACACACACACGAGCTGTAAAAAGCGAAAATGGTGCTACAAAAATGAGAAATGAAGAATGACAACATCAAATTAGCTTCATAAAAATGTCGACTCGAAGCGCCACAATCCTCAGCCTGCAAACCTGCTGTACCTCCTGCAACCTCCGGTACCCGCGCTCTTAGGACTGGGTGGGGAGGGGGTGTGAAACAATACAGTTTATAAAAATGAGAGTGCAAAAATATTTTTATGATAAATGACTGTAAACGAGCACGTGAAGCAACAGCAGTCCCCATCAACAGCAGCAGAGAGCCAGAAACGGAACCCCCATGGCACATGGCACATGGCACATGGAACGGGGGGATCTGTGGCTGGGTAAGAACTGGTAATGTCACTGCTGCAAGGACTGTGACTGTGACTGAGACGGGGACAGAGTCAGAGTCAGAGTCAACCAACAAAAAAAAAAAAGGCCATAGACGTAAACGTGCTGCTGTCAACCGCACACGCACATGCAGACGCAGACGCACATGACAACACGCACCCACACATGGACATCTATATGACAGCAAAATTTTGGCGTCAACGTTGACATTGACGCCATTTCCGGCCGACGCGACAAGAGAGAGCTATAAGGCACTTACATACATACACATACATGTGTGTGTGTGTGTGTAAGGGTGTACATATGTATTTATGTATGTGCACCCAGGCAGCAACAGTTGTCTGCCGCAGTGGCCCACTCTACCTGGGGGCGACATGTGTCAAGCACAAGCCCTGGATGAAACCTAGCAGGGAATGTACTTTTAATTTTGGGCTAGGCTTACATGCTGCCACTTTTGGGCTCTATATATAAACTGTTCCAGGCGGAACAATAACCGAGAGAGAAGGTGGGAAAACGTATTTATTTATTTAGAAAGTGAACAGAAATCAATATGTCAAATTAAGATTCCGGTAGAGATCAGATCAATTAATCCATATGGTTAGTGCAGCTACAAAATAAAATTATAAAATTTTCTTTAAATGCAGCTACAAAATTAAATTATAAAATTATCTATTAAAAAAAAATAATAAATTAAATTAAAAATTGGTAGATTAGTTGAAAATTAATTTAGCCGCCAACAGCCTACTCATATCAGGTGCTACAGTTTGGGGAACGTTTGCTTTTAATAATTAATATATATGTATAAGTATATTTTTTTAAAATATTTTTTTTATATATATTATTTTTATTATTATTTTTTTTTTGTATTATTTCCTATTTTATATATTATATTTTTTTTTAATACTATATAATATAATATATATATATAATATCTTGTAATATTTAATATATATACTTTTTTGTTTTTAATATTTGTTTTATATACATTATTTTCATTATTATTTTGTTGTACTATTTATTATTTTACTATTATTTTATATATTATATTTTTTAATGTTCTGTTAATATTGTTAGTTATGTATTTATCCACTCCAAGCGGGTCCTGCAAGTTCTTATACTTATCTACGTATTTTAATAGGTACAAAATTTATATTCTGTGTGAAAAATATCATCCAATCTGGAAGAAAGTTACGCGGAAGCGCGGATCCCGTGAGATATGTGTGTACATATCCCAGTGTATAGCCCAGTAAAGAGTCCCTCTGGCTACCTAAATCTTCTCTTGCCCATGCCCTTCCCATTCCCCTGCCCCGTCTCCTTCGCCCATCTATTTCTCTATTATATTTCTGTACTTGTTCTTTGTAAGAGAATGTGAAAAGGAAAAAGCAGCCAGGAACAAGATTAAAGGAACAGGCGGCAATGGCGTGGGTACATACATATATATATATATATATATATATAACGACTTCCTCTTAGACGACGCTTTTAGCTAAATTGCGACAAAAATGAGCAGCGCCGCCCCCCAATGGAGGGACAAGCACAGGACTACATGCGGTAGTGGGGGTGGAAGAGACAACGACTAAAATAATAAAAGAACAATGTCAAAAAGAACTTGGGCACATAAATAAGCTCTTGGCGTGTGTGTGTGTGTGTGTGTGTGTGTGTGTGTGTGTGTGTGAGTGGGAGGGTGTGTGGCTGTGTGGGGTTCCTCTTCGCAGCTGCCTTTGTGTGTGTGATTAGGATAAATGTGCACGCTTCCAAATTGATGTGGCTGCCTCCTGCTTCCTGCTGCCGCTGCTGTGTGTGTGTGTGGAGCTGCAGGGAAGTGGCTAAGAACCGGCCCGGAAGCGGATATGCGCTGCAATTGTCATCCAACATTTGACTTTTGGATGGGCCAAGTGCGTGTCTCTAGGTGGGCGCCATCATAAACATTATCAGGACTCAGCTGTCCTCTGCTGTGCTGTGCTGTGCCCCCGCCCCCGCCCCCCATTCACCTCGATTTATTTGCGCATTTGTTTGCTTTTGTCGGCACTCATTCATAGCATATCATATGCCTCACACGCCGCCAAAATTCGCACTCGAAGCCATCTGGCATATGGCTCCACTTGCCTTATTAATACATCTCTCCCGCTCTGCCGCTCTCTGGCCACACTTTGGTCTAAGAAATCATTTATGAATCATTCATTCATTCACTTTGTTTCATTTATTTCGGTTTACGAGTACATAAGTGAACAAGAACATAATTCCTGCTGCACGACAGATGCTTTTAATACCCTCGAAATATTTGCATTTAATATAATTAACTCAATTAAATATGCTACAAAATAATTGAGTAAGTAAAGTAACATAAAGTAAATTAAAGTAAAGTAAATTAAAATAAAATAAAGTAAAGGTATATAGGTACGATTAGCTATAGAACCAGCCAACTGGGTAACATCAACACACCGCCTGTAACGCGTTCTGTTCGGGCCACTAAAGTTGATTTGGTGGCGCATAAATGTCCCAGATTCTAGCCACTAGATGACTCACTTATTCATGCGGCTATCGGAATGCATTTGATTAGTTTAGTGAATGAAACCCAAGTGGATTGACTTGACTTTCGAGTGTGCACGGACTCACGTGTGCTGCATTTTTTGTGTGTGTTTATTTGTTAATGTGGACAAAAAACACTTGGCACTTGCTTCAAGCAAATCAATTTTTTCCTTTGGCGAATATTTAAATGAGAATTTGTTTAATGGACACAGCCCATGGATTAGTCAATTTAATAAGGTTTTGTATCTAAAACATTCGCTGTGTAATTTTAATTTAATTTAATTTAATTTGGTTTCTTCCCTGTACCCTGATTCCTGTCTGTAAATTTATGTGCGGTTCATTCATTTGCTTACCATTTTTCTGTGACGCTTGCCTTTAATTTATAGAGATGCATCAAATTCATTCCTCCCTTGGCTGGCATCTATTCACTTGTGGGGAAGTGTATGCCCTGCGGGCACGTTACCGACGGCTTCCGGTGAGCCCATCTTTTGCTTCCGGTGCCACATATTTATACCACCCGCTCTCTCTCTCTCTCTCCACTCACTCTCTCTCACTCCCATTTGCTGCCATTTCTTCAGCTGTCATTCACCGTATTTCCGCCTGTTCACAGTTAATTGCGGCTCAGCAGTTAATCGTCATTAAGGGGGAGCCCACATGTGGGGCAGACAGAGCCAGAAATTCCACCCACAATTTCACCAAACGCACCACACGCCACATGCCACATCCTCCTACACTCCACGCCACTCCACTCCACTTTCCACTCTCTTCTACGCCCTCTTCCCCTTCCCCTTCCCCTTCATCCACTAAGCATATCACTTACAGGCGCGTGGGCATGTGGGCATGTGTGGGTGTGGGTGGCTTTGCCTTCGTATGCCGTTTGTCTGTTTGCGGTTTTGATTGTCATTTGATTGTGTTGTGATTATGATGTGTGTGTGTCAGTCGATCTATCCATCTCTCTCTCTATCTCTCCCTCTCTCTCTCTTTCTGTAGATGTTTCCACGCCCCGTGCACCCCTCACTAATGTAGTAATCTGGCTAAATGTGGCTTGACGAATTCTCTCTCTTTCTCTCTCTCTCTCTCTCTCTCTCTCTCTCTCTCTCTCTGCCTCTCTCTCTCTCCTTCTCTATCCGCCTTTCGATGATGTGTTTGCCCATTTTTGACAGACATTTTTATTCCTCCCGCGCCCCACAATCCCTCCCACTGCATTTACGATAAATTTGGCCTGGCACAAATTTATGCTCTCTCTCCCTCTTTCTCTCTCTCTCTCCGTCACATCTGCTCCCCCACATATAATAGAGAGAGCCCAAACAAACACAAAAAGAGCGTAAATAAAGTTGCAAATTTTTTGGTTTGCTTTCAAGGGGAAATCAAGGAGGGGCAGCAGTTGCAAACACCTGCCGCGCCCCCTCTATAGATGAAGCACCCCCCTATTCCCTTCTCCCATCAAATAGTTTTTGAACATGCTAAACAATTGTGAAGGTAACTGAAACAGGTTGCCCTTCCGTCTTAAATTAATTTATTTTACTTTACTTGGGACTTAAATTACAGCCCAATGGCAGCATATAGCAGCAGGGATACAGCTTAGGTATTCCGATATATAAAGCGGGAACAGCAATCCCAATTCACCCTGAAGTGTCAGTGGAATCATTCACACGGGGTTTCAGGAAGCTCACTCCCAGTGGCACTCTGCCACTCTGCCACCAGCTCAGCTGTTGTTATGAGCGTCAGTGCCACATTGCGTAGCCATTTATTGCGCGCTTCTTAGTAATTATGAGATTTATCCTGGTGCCAGCTTTGGCACCCACTCACTCGCTACTTCTTCGTTACTCCTTCTTCCAGTATTGCTCTCAACTTTCATCGATTCAGTTCGCTGGCTTTTTTTTTTTTTTTTTTTTTTTTTTTTTTTTTTTTTTTATTTTTTGGGTTTTAAAGAAATTATAGAGCGTTGCTGTTGTCTGTGACTTTAAGCTGAATTCGAATTGTACATTTGGAAAATATTCGTACAGATAGGCAACAAATAAATGCCAGAAACCAAGGGGCAAGTGAGGCATAGGTTGGGGGCACTGCAAGAGTCGTTCCTTTTGCTTTCTCTCTAATAAACTTTGGCCGGAAGTGAAACGCAAACGGAGAGACAAAATCACGCTGTCGGAGTGTGAAAAAATGAGGAAAAATTTACTAAAATCTTTGATGAAAGGACAAGGGAGGCAGTGCCATACCAAATGAATGATTGATCCGTAAGGGTATCAAAGACATCCAACTAAAACTAGGCGTTATTCGCTTTTTGCCTTTCGCATGGCTCTGCAGCTGCTGCTTGCACTCCCCGCTCCCTCGCCACCTTTTGCCCGGTATCTGTGCCACTCTGCCACCCACAGCCCACCACCACCCGTCTCTGCCCACTGCTCTAACTGCTGCTCTGGCATGGAGCTGTCCCTCTCTCTGACAGCCTCGTGTGCATATTTGAATACCAACATGGCTCATATTCAACTAATTAGGCGAGTTTTGCAAATACATTTTCATTATTGTAATTTCCAGTGGAAAGGCAGGGACGGGATGGGACGCGGGGCGGGGCGGGGCAGAGCAGGGAGCAGCCAAAGAAATGAGCGCAAAAAACTAGGCAACATGCTGGCAAAAGTTTCCCATATGTTTGGACAGGGACAAGGATTGGGCTGTGAGGGTGAGCCTGGTGGGTGGTGGGTGGTGGGTGGTGAGTGTTGGTGGGGGGTGTAGCGGTAACAGACACCGACACATGTAGGCCGAGGCATTTGCATATGCATGTTGCACATCCATACGGCGGCAGAAAAACTTCCAGGAGGTAAAATTTAAAAAGCAGCCGCACCAGCAACAAAAAAAAAAAGCAAAATATAAAGGAGATATTTAAATTAATTCATGACCGAAGCGTTGCACACCCTTGCAGATGAGCTGTGGGGCAGCATCAAAAGATCTGTGAATGGATTTGCTTGGGGCAATCATTGCTGGGGCGCCCGTGCATCCGGAATCAGTAAACTTCGCGCACTCGAGCTGCAGCTCTTGCTGTTCAAAAGCAAAATGCCATCTGCTAGGGCATAACAGAATTCAAACTCAAAATAGCAAAGAGCTCACGGACACAGAGACGCGGACACAGAGACACGGACACACGGACACAGAGACATGGACGCAGAGACACAGAGACATGGACGCAGAGACACGGACACGGACACAGAGTCACGGACATGGACACAGATACACGGAGACACGGACCCAGAGACACGGACACAGATACACGGACACAGAGAAAAGGACCCACGGACAGAGAGACACGGACCCAGAGACACGGACACGGACACAGAGTCACGGACACGGACACAGATACACGGAGACACGGACCCAGAGACACGGACACAGACACGATACACGACCACAGACACAGACACCCGGACACAGAGACAGACACAGAGACACGGACACGGACACAGAGTCACGGACACGGACACAGATACACGGACACAGAGACACGGACACAGAGACACGGAGACACGGACACAGAGACACGGACATGGACACAGAGAGTAGAAGGGCGCTGGAACGTTGGGTTTCAGTGTGGTTTTTGCGGGGTAGACAGCGGCGGTGGCGGCGGCTTCACACTGAAATTGGCAAAGGGCAGAGCAAAAGTAGAGAACTTATCATGTGAGAATCTAAAGATCTAGAGAACCTTTTTGCTATTATTTATGCCACAAGTGAAAAGTGACAAAAGAGAAGGCCCGGGAATGCATGTGGACTGCATATGGATCGATCGCAGCCTCGACTGACTATAGTTGAGGATTACGAAAAGGGTTTTGATCAGTCCAGTATTATGGAAAGATTGTAGCGGAGGCCCAAACAGCGTCCAAAGGCACTCGGAAGACACTGTTCCCACCGTCCGATCCGATAACTAATCTTGTTGTTGCCTGTCCAGGACAGCAGAGTCCTGGTGCTTTCGGCTATGCCTGAGCCGCCTATCTGTCGTGTCTGGTTTTTTGTCTGGTTTTTTGTCTGTTTTGTTGTTTGGTTTGGTTTCGTTTCGCTGCTTTCGCTTTGCCTTCGCTGTTGTGCCTTTTGTGCGAGCGCCTAAGCTCAAAACCATTAACACTTGTTTCTGTCATTGTGCATGAGAAGCGGAAGCGCTTTTGTTTCTGTGCAACAAACAAGTTTCCTTTCGACTGCCAACTGGAAAGTGCCCCGTGGGCTAGTCCAAGTCGCCGTACCAGTCGCAGTGCCAGTACCAGGCAGAGTCCCAGGCAGAGTCCCAGGCAGAGTCCCAGGCAGAGTCCCAGGCATAGTCCTAGTCGCAGTCCGAGTCCCGCATGCGGCAGGAGTTTCGCTTTTTTTTTTTTTGACATGGGTATCCGTATCCTAGACGCATTCATAGCCACTGCTCTGTCGCTCTCAGAGCTGGCGCTGGCATTATGGTATTTTTATGGTTTTTAAATTTGAATCTAAATGCAGATCCCGTCCCGATCCTGTCATACCCGCTGCAAGGGCATCCCATTGTCGGTATTGGGCTGGATCCAGTGCCAACATATTTTTCATTTAAATGTGGTGGGTGGCGGGAGTGCTCCTGGCCCCAAGACAAGACTGTTAAATACTTATATGTACATTAAAACTCGTCACGACTGGACTGACCTGGCAGGCTGGGTAAGGCTGTGGCATTCTAGGGTTCTGGGCTTGGCATGTCAGCCAACTGGATGAGGGTTCCAGGACAGCCTTGTTCTCTTTTTTTTTGGTGCACTGCCCGTCAACGTCAAGGCGTGGCTTTAAAGCTTGAGTTTGCTGCTTGGCCTGGCCTGGCCTGGCCTGGACTGGTCTGGTGGTGACTGTACTTCGCCTTCAGCAGAAGGTGTTCGAGCACAAAGTTGTTCATGTTGTTCCTGCCAGCTGATGCTCCGGTGATGGATGAGTCTCATGGAGTCCAGAAGTCGGGCTCAAGCCGCTCAGATGCTTGTGAGTAGTTCTGACCTTTGGCTGACAGTTTTCAAGAAAATTCTATGCATATTTCATGCATAGAAGTTGCCATTTAAACAGGTTTCCAATTTGGATTCGCATTGCCAGTGCCATTGCCACAGGTACTTGTGCCTGAGGCAGTTCGTCCACGAATTGAATTTATAAATTAATCATCAAGTCTCCATAGCCCTGCTAGCTGCTCTGTTTTGATGGTATGCTCAAAATCGAAATCGAAATCGAAGCGAAGTTCATCGAAGATGCCAGGGCCAGACTAGCCAGGCCAGGGGCAGACCAGAATGCCAGGGTGCATAAGGCTGTGGCTGAGCACGGTAGGTGGATGCCGATGCCGATGCTGATGATGACTGAGCTTGCATAAATGAGTTTGCCCTTAAGTGTGTGGGCATGCTGCTGGATGGAGAGCTCGATGCGTTAGCTGGGCTGAAGCTCTGGCTACGATGGTGTTGAGTGTTAAAAAGGAGCAGGAGAAGCAGCATTTTGTGCGTGAGCAGCATATTCGATGTGCCACACATCCCACAACAGAGCGACCCAGTCCCAAGTTATTTATGCAGACTCACATACAAAGCATGCAAAGATTTTGCATTGCCCCAGCAGCTCCACCAGCTCCTTTTGCTCCTGCTCCTGTGCCGAGCTGGCTTTGGGCTCTGTGCCAGGATTGAAAGTAGCATCTGCTGGCGATGTCCGCATACAATTAGCTGCAACTGTAATTAAAACAATTGTATAATAAATCTCTTGCCAAATGGCTGACGGCGCAGGGCGCAGGTATTAACCCCCCACCACCCAAACAGTGGCGGAGCAAAGGAAAAATTCCAAGCGAAAATTAATATAAATTTAATAGTTGGCCTGGCATTTATGGTGGGTATAAAAGCAGCCTCGTTAAATGCATTCAAATGGATAATCCAGCAGCCCCACCCCCCCTGGCTGCTACCCTGGCCCTAGCCCCAGTTGCATCCACCCTCTGGGTGGGCACACTTGGCCGCCATTCAAAAGACAATTGAAATGCCAAAATAGTTTCTATTTTTTGTTGTTGTTGTTGTTGTTTTGCTCTGGCTTCGATCCAGAGACACTGAAAGCCGAACGCCAGACACCCTCTCCTCTCCTGTCGTGTCGTTTCGTAGACGACAAGCAAAACCCCCCCTTTCGAGTAGCCAAAAAATTGCACGAAAATAATGTGCCAGGCAAGATGAAGAGCGCCGTTAAGCCGATTCACCCCAGAAGAGACGAGAAGAGCCGTCGGCCCATGTCGGAGATCGCACGCGAGCTGCGGCGTCTGAAGGCGCTGCCGCTGCGCGTCGATGATGAGGACGAGCGGCCAAAGGTGGCGGCGGTGGACAGGCCAGTGAAGCGACTGGATCAGCTGGAGCCGCTCAGGCTGACCCGGCACCGGCTCACCCAGCTGCTGGTGCGTCCGGCCTTCGAGCAGGCGGTGCTCAGCTGCTTTGTGCGCGTCAACACGAATGGTCTGAGCTCGGGCGAACGGCCCGAGCACCGCATCGCCCAGATCGTGGGCGTCGTCGAGCTGGCGCTGGGCTATCTCGTCGACGAGATACCCACCAATCTGGCGCTGCGTCTGCGCTACAATGGCGAGCTGGCGGCCCACGAGCTGAACGACATTTCGAATGTGGCCTTTACGCTGCCGGAGTTTCAGCTGTGGTACGATTGGTGCGTCAACCAGGCCATCCAGCCACCCACCATCAGCCTGATTGCGCGCAAGAAAATCGAGCTGTACAATGCCCTGCAGAGCGAGGCCAAGGCCCTGGCCCTCATCAAGCAGACCTGCACCCTGACCATGCGACCGCCCCAGCGCGGCGGCATTCTCGAGCGGCACGGCGCCACCTATCCCTGGCGCCTGCAGCGTCCGCCAGAGGCGACACTTGCCGTGGCCCCAGCACCAGCGTCGATTCCGCAGGAGCAGCTCCAGCTGGAGTCGGAGCTGGATGAGTCCGAGGCGGCTTGAACTGGCTACGAAACTCTGATTCAGATTTAATTTAACCCCCCCCCATGACCCATAGCCCAGCGACACTTGCTCCACAAATTTGTTTGTTTTATCGTCTCGAAATAAATACAATTCCGAGCCGGACTCAGAGCAATTTACACTGTTCCAAATATCGCCATGACGCACGGGGAAGGATAGCTAAAAGTTGCGCAATGTTTCCATAATTTTAATGGAAAAAATGCGCCCAAACTGAATGGCTTATCAGCCATTAATGGGCGCCACAAGTCGATCAGAAAATGTAAAGAAAAAGGCATGTCAGGGTTGCTTTGGCTGTGGAGTAAATTTGAATCTCGCATCTGGAATAATATTTCCAGAAATCAAATGGCAAAATAAATGTATACAGATAGTTGGAGTTAAATTTGTTGTTTGGTGGATGGTTTGGTGGATGCAAAGGCCATTAGGCAGTAGAGTGGGCTGGAAGGTTGGCACTTTAATCTGGGGCAGTGTTAGACTGCGGCTGTGGCAAGTGCCAGTGTGCCTGTGCCTTGAGACGAGCAGGAAATTAGCTCGAGAAGAGCACCAAAGAGGAGCCAACAGGAACAGGAAGTGGCAACAAAATGTCGTCAATAAAGCCAAAGAATTTACAGAAATTTACAGAAATTCAATTAAGCAGCTCAGCGAGCGACGGGGGAGTGTCCTTTGGGAGTGGAATAAAAGAATGAGGAGGATGAGCGATGGGCAGTGAAGTGCCGCCGCCGCTTGGGCCCCCGCGGGGGCAAGGCTCTCGGAAATGAGTTACTTTTTAGCGGAGTGGCCGGTGGAGCAAGAATCAGGGCAATTAGGGAGTGCAGCATTAAGCTGGTGGGGCGTAGGTGGAGTAGGTGGTGGTGGTGGCAGCCCACATCCTGCATTAGCCGCCAAAACACTTACCGCCAGACACAGACCCAATTGGGGTTTGGGATTGGCATTGCGATGGGATGGGATTGCCGCTGGCGCATATTTGTGCTGCTTCCTCGATTCCTTGGCCAAATGCAAATGAGTTGGATTTATGCATCCCCAACAGCCATCCAGCCAGCCAGCCAGCCAGCCCCCATCGCCAACCCGCTAACCTCTCCTGCTTTTGCTGCTCCTGCTGCTTCTCCTCCTTCAGGTGCTCCTTCCGGGCATATTCGATGCACATCGATTGATTTCGCATCAACGCAAAATGCGAAACGGATTATTAAACTTGCCACTGGCCAGGTGTGTGCACAGCGGCAGAAGCAGAAGCAGAAGCACAAGCTAAAGGGAATGGCAGCGGCAGCGGCAGCAACATGGGAGGTGAAACGGAAAGACAATTTTGCAGCTGCTGCAATTTTCGATAAATTCTTGGCTCAAAAGATGCGCCAGCGGTTGGCTGGCAAGGGTAAAACGGGCAAGGAAATGGATTGGGGGATGGGCGATGGGGCGATGGGGCGATGGGATGCAGCAGATATTTCATTCATTTCCATAATTTTAATAAAATTGAAGAAAAATATTCAAGGCACTGCCACAGAAGCAGCAGCAGCAGCAGCAGCAGAAGCAGCAGCCGCACGTCGACGGCGAAATGAAAAGCGGAAAATGTGAAAACGCAAAATATGCGGCAATGTAATGCCGCTGCCGTCACATCAAACAGTAGAACAAAGCCGCGAAAATTTGGCTAGATTTGTGCCGTTCCGATCACTTTGCTGAAGATCGTCGCGAAGGTTCCCGGCTACGAGGAAAGCTGAGGAGTTGCCCAAAAGGCCTGAGCCGAAAGCACTTCTTAAATGTTTTACTTATGGATATTATTTTGTGGAATTTTCGTGGCCACTGTGCTGCGGGAACTGCTGCCTGCTGCTGGCTGCTGGCTGCTGGCATTTTCATCGTCTTCATTCGAATTCTGTTTTTCTTTCGGTGCTACCTGGCCCCCTTCCCTCCACCCTATCAGTTTTGTTTTCATTTTGGATGCTATACATGTGCCGCTATTTACCCCTTCTCTTCTCTCCCTAACATCTCCTCTCAGGGCTGGGCTGAAGCCGAGACAGCTATGTGATGGAGGCCATGTCAAACAAATGACATAATTCAGTTGCTGGCAAAGTTTTTGACTGATGCCATAACATGCCATACGAGAGCCAGCCACAGAGCTCCTTTTTCGTTTGGCTTCTTGGCCCAAAGTTCATCGTTGAGTCGTCCTGATTCTCGTTGATTGCCGACCATCTTGCCATGGAACCGCTTGCCTCTCACTCTGTCTCTCTCGTGCTCTGCTGTGCTCTGCTCTCGCCGCTTCCTTTCAACTTCATCTGGGCAATCGGGCCAATGGCAGTATGCTGTTGGAGGCACAGAAGGAAAAGATATGTCACCAGGTGGAAGTGCGCATTTAATCCGACCAAAAGTCCTAACATCAACAGCCAAAGTGTCGCACAAATTCAACCAGAAACACTCGAACACCACCCCACTGTCCCCCACTCTCCTCCTCCTCCTCCTCCTCCTCCTCCTGCCACCGAATTGGCTCTTGGATGGCAGTGGCTGAATGGAGGGATCCGTGGCGAACATGTGCCGCCTCTAAATAATGAAAATTACTTTCACTAGAATGAAAAACGGGGCGAAGAAAAATTCCCCAAAATTAAAATGTTGAAAAGTTTTTTTTTTTCGAAGGAAAATGGGATTGCGAGTGGAACAGTGGAATGATGGCTAACCCTAGAACTTCTCCGCCCCCCACCACCATTTCTCGGTAGAAAATTTACGAGGACCTCCTTGTTTTTCCCCTCCCTGTTTTTCAGGAGGTGCACTTGAAAGCATCTCTCTCATAACTCATGATGTTTGGTCCCAACTTGGCCCTAAATCTTTTGTGTGTGTTTTTTTTTTGTATTTATATTTTGTTGCTGTTGTTGCCGTTGTGTAGGACTTTTAATTATACGTAGCTAGCGCTCAACCCTCTCCCACATCCACTCGGAATGGCCTAAAATTAATTTAGCCAAATCATGGGAGCTCTGTAGGAGGAGCAGACAACAAAACGTAGAAAAAATAGAGCTGAAAGGGAAAACTCTGCCTGGACATGTGCGTGACGAAAGAGGCAACGAGAAGGCTACGAAAATGAGCAGGAAAACAGCTCAGAGCAAAACAAAAAAAAATAATAGAATAGAATAGAATAGAAACGCACACAAGGGTTAACAGCCGCCGCCTCCTGCTCTCCTCCATGTGTGTGTGCCACTCTCTGGGTTCTTCTTCTTCTTGTTTTTTTATATTTATGGATACTACGTGTTGTAGTGGGCGTGTTATGGCTACCCCTTCTCCGGCTGCTCCACCTTTCATTTCTGGATATTTTCCCCCCAACCCAACCCCAGCCCAAGCCCCCACTGTCGTTTTTAGGGCCAAAGCGACAACATAAAACAGTCGTAAAATTTATTAAGTGACATTTTTGTGTATGTAAAATGGAGGCAACCGGCGCGGCGGAGCCCCAAAAAAACAAAAAAAAAGAAGAAAAAAAATAATCATAAGCAAAACCAACAACTGGAAAATGCTATAATAAAAAAAAAAAAAATATGGAAAATGAAAATGAAAACACGAGAAAAACATTTGGTGGACAAACGTTAATTGCACGGCAACAAAATGTCATAAAATGTGTAAAAAGACATGAAGACTTTTGGACCAGTGAGAAGATCCTGCACGTAGCACCGAAGCTGTTGATACCCTTGCACTGGGCACAGCGCGAGTGGGTGGTAGAGACACCCCAATGTACAGCAAGTAGTTGAGGAAGCCTGAAACTGGGCATGCCCCATGCAGGTGAATTTCCCCAAAAAGTTGCCCAGAGCAGAAGAGAACCCAATTTGCTTTTCGTTTCGTTGCAAAATGGAATTTTGTTTTTGGCACAAGTTATAAATTAAATATTTATTAATTACTCGCCCTCCCTCTCTCGGTCCCTCTCTGTTCATTTCTCTGTGCCTGTTGCCAAGAAACCAAGCCAAAAAAGCCCACTTCAAGGCCCGATTTGGTCTGTTGCTAATTTTACATTTTCTAATTGGTCATCAGTCGCTTGATTGTTCGCCTGACCCTAAGTTTTCCTCCTGCTATGCTTGCCCTCTGAGCCACACTCAGCGATTCCTTCAGTGGAGGGCATCGCTCATTTAGCTGGTTAATTGCATTTCATTTCATTTCATTTCATTTCATTTCTCTAATTTATTTTGCCTTATTGACGATATTTTCTTCGCGTTTTTCTGCAGCTCCCTGCCCCTGCTCCTGCGCCCACCGCAGATGTCCTGCCAGTTTGCCGTTCATTAGCGTAACAAAACTTGACTACAAATTTCCCATTGCCAGTTGCTCCCCCGAGATGAAAGTGTTGAAAAAACTCTGCAACATTTTCCCAGGGCTGCTGTCTTTTCTCGCCCTCTCCCCAGCTGGCTACCACTGCGGATGCTAATTGCTTTGCATTTGGCAGAGCAGACTTATTGTTGTTTTATTTGGATGCGTTGACAATTTGATTTCTGGCAATATTTTTGCAAAATCTCGCACTCCCCTCTCCGCATTCTGATTCTTTATTTAGCCGATTTGTTGGGCTGCTGCTGTAAATTGGCAATCAATCACCGCAGTTCTATGTCTATTACATATGTTACGCAAAATCTATTTCATCAGCAACCAATTCATGTGTGCAGCACTTTTTTGGCATTTTTTTTTTTTCTGCTCGGTTCTCTGCGCTGGATGAAAGGTGTTCTGCCAAATCGTTTCTATGCGAAATCTGAGAAATCTTTTTACAATCAAAACAGATTTTTTTTTATTTATTATATTTATTTATTTATATGTTTATTATTATAATTATTTATTTAATTTTTATTTATTATTATGTATTATTATTAATTATTATTATAATTATTTATTTATTTTTTATTTATTATTATGTACTTATTATGTATTATTAATTATTATTATTATTTATTTAATGTTTATTTACTATGATGTACTTATTATTATTAATTATTATTATAATTATTTATTTAATTTTTATTTATTATTAAGTATTATTATTATTATTTATTTTATTATTATTAACTTAAATTTACTTTTTTATTTATTTTATTTCTCCTTATAAATATGCCTTTCAATTGAATAAACGTTTTCCAGAACATTTCCAGAGCCCCGGGGACTAGGTTGGAGACTGACAATTAGTATCTTT